GGATCTTCCGACCAGTGTTTTTGTTGACGTCGCAACCAGATGATGTAGCTGCTTCGCAGAGACGTCTTACTGCACAATAATAGTGATAAACACAGCTCGCATCTTCCCTGGACCTGTTAGACAGAAGCAGAGTCGACACATCTGTCAACAGTGTCAAGCCGAGTTAGTCTATCTCCTGCAGCTTGGAGAGCGTTCTCCACGGAGAGATCCGCTGCCTTTAGGTCGTGCCAAATCGTATTTATCCACCGCAATGGCGGACGGCCACGGGTTTTTTGTGCCGTTTGTGTTGATTGATAGCTCCAGTGCTTGGAACGAGGCGGATTCTGGACCCTCTCGCACCACATGGGCAAACCCCAGCAGCCTGCGTTGCCAGCATGTGGAACAAACTGGAGATTGTTTTTGGTGAACAGAATTAATTTCAACAATCGACGAGGAGACAATAGTCGTAAAATGGCAATAAATAAGATAAATTGTGCACTCATAACAACAGCAAAAAATGAAGAAAGTCAAGTTCCATAACGTTTTCTTGTGACTGTCATCAGTGGAACGCCGTCACATAAAAATGTAATATCTAAAACACACACTTATATACATGTAGCTAATATGGTTTCAGGTAGAAATACAGCAGCTAACAGGTACAAAAAGCGAAGTTTGCACCTTTGCAATGTGTGAATATAGTGTATGTGAGAAAGGTAGTGGCAGATGAATGTGATACTGTGTGAATGAATGTAATGGTGCAACACTTGTCCGAACGCATCAAGCAGCACGTCCCATTATCATTGTTGTCCCAGGCTGCCAGGTTAAGCAGGCCGAAGCGTGGGAGACCACGAAAACATCCGCTGCCTATTTCTACACCTGGCACGGCTCACAATTCGGAAACAGAAACACCGACTACTTCCATGGAGAACGAGCAGACTAATCTGGTTCCCCCCTCGGAAACCGGACCACGGCAAGGGAGGCCGCCGGACGGTCGCTCCTCGACAAACCATGTTGCTACAACGGTAAGAGCGGAAGGGGAACAACTTGAAAACAGAGCAGAACCGAGGAGAAGCAAGAGACTAGCAGAGTCACGACTGAGACAAGTGGAGAACACAAGGCAAGGAGACGCAGGAGGAAGCACAGGCACGGCACAGAACGAATCAAGGAGAGGGAAGCGGTGTCGCGAGGAGATGGAGACTGATGACGACGAATACGAGTGCGATGGGATGGACGGCGGCATTGGAATGGAGGTGGAGGATGAGAGTAGTGATGAGGAGGAGTTTGATGTTGACAAGAGGAAGTCTGCAGTGTACAAGCATTTGGTGTCCAGTCCAGAATGTCGTAAGGTGTTTGACGATTCCTGGTTTAGTGTTATTCGTTGCGCACGTTTCTTCAAGCAATTGCAGGTGTTGGAAGCTGTGTATATTCGTACTCGTGACCCTGTGCTATGTAAACAGAAAGAAAACGTTGTATCACTCACACTCTTCAAGTAATACACACGCACCATTACATTCATTCACACAGTATCACATTCATCTGCCACTACCTTTCTTACATACACTATATTCACACATTGCAAAGGTGCAAACTTCGCTTTTTGTACCTGTTAGCTGCTGTATTTCTACCTGAAACCATATTAGCTACATGTATATAAGTGTGTGTTTTAGATATTACATTTTTATGTGACGGCGTTCCACTGATGACAGTCACAAGAAAACGTTATGGAACTTGACTTTCTTCATTTTTGGCTGTTGTTATGAGTGCACAATTTATCTTATTTATTGCCATTTTAGAATTAATTTCAAATTTATTTTATTCTTCGATTAGAAAACCCAAGCGCTTTCAGAGTCCTCGGAAGAGAGTCCGGGATGAAACCACGCACACCTACCTCAACCGAAAGAGAAACGAACTGCCACCCGTTTGCTCGGCATTGGTCGGCCAGATCCGCATACCGCCTGTCCTTCCGCGAGTTACTGACACTGAATATGTCCTCAGCACAAACTGTCAACTCCATCTAGAATACAATCCTACGACTCGTAGAGTACAGAACTATATCTGATCTCAGGGTGGTACGTGCAACACAGCTAGGGAAAGAAATCTTTGCACTAACTGAGTCAACAAGACGTTTCCAGTCTGAGGCCTCTGACAGGAGATCAGGCGTAACCCACTTTTGTCTGGGCTGAACGTGAACTGGCTTCTCTCCTGCCTTGCAAAACGAGATGAAGTCAAGCTCATTTGAATTTTCGGTTTGTACGGTGTTTGCAGCAGAGCGGAATCGAATCTCCTCACGCATGTTCCTGACGATGACCCCTAATACGTTGTCGTGCCTCCAGGTGTTACATCCCTGGTCCAGCGCTACGCGACAAGCGCCAAGCACGTGGCGCGTAGTACAGGCCCAGGCACGGCACAAACTACAGTACGGATCCACTACGGTGTTTCCCCAACGACATCGGTTCGTCGGAGAAGGTAGCACGTCGAGGGTTGAGGCGAGAAGAAAATTCAAATCCTTGCCAGTACCACCGTAAAAAAGGGATTTGCACGAGAGGTCCTGCCACATCACCGATGTCCACTCCAACCACTTGCCTTGCACCCGAAGAGGTTTCAGCCTCAAAATCTGCTCCTGCTCCTGAACCTACTGATGCCTCTGCACGCTCCAGCTTTATTGTCGCCGCATACCGCTTTGTTGGATTCGCACCCTTACTCTGACGCAGAGTGTACAGTGCCCTCATGCGCGCGTCCCCACTCGATCGAAGAATGTGCCATTTGATGGACTGGCACTTTTTCCACACCGTAGGAAAGTAGTAGAGGCGTAAGCCAAAGCGTTTGCGACTGCCAATAAAAAGAATGGCAGAGTTTGCGCATCGAGGTAGGCCTGACCATTTCTTCAGAAATGGTAAACACATAAAGTGCAGTTCACGTACAAAACCTTGTGTGAGTTCAAGAACCTGGAAATACCAAGAAAGCTTGGGCACTACAAGATAGTGGTAAAGCCATAGCTTGTGGTGATCTTGAAGCCAAGAGCCAACTTCTTTTTGCATGAGAGATACAGTGAGTTAACCTTGTGTGTCTGGCTCTTCGTCAATAGTGGAATGAAGGCTCCAACCCATCCGTGGATGGCCTCATCAAGCTCTACTAGCCAACCCTGATCTACCCACGAGTCCACTTCTGCACAGAATTGAGCCTGTTGACTATCGAACAGAGCTCTGTGTGCGCACTGGCAAATGACTGAGCCGATCGGCCAGGTTGGCGCTTGTCCGTCCGTGCTTCCAGCGCCAATGCTCGGTGTCTTCAACCCACCGGATTAGACCGTTGTCGCTTCTAGCGTTACCCCTATATCATCCTTCGTAACGGTCACATGACGTACGGGGTGTTCGCCGGCACACACGGTTGTTGCTGTGATGCCAGAAGTTGCTGTGCCCAGGCCAAACGTAGCAGGGTTTAACTCACCTGCTTCGTCATAGCCTATGCTGACACCTCCGATGCCAGCATTTACGTCTGCGCAGAGATGTGCATATGCGCCAACAGATGTGAGTGATCCGACAACACTTGCTTTTACATGCAGGTGTACGAGACACAGGTCCAACTAGACGTTGAAGCTGGAGGTCTGCTTCAACCAGGATCTCAACAGGGTTGCCATCCAGAGCCACCACTAATGTCTGTCGGTCGATTCCGTATGAAATTTTGGCGTGTTCGATAGATTTGCACTGTATTATTAATAATTGAGGACCAAGAAAAGTGTTACCAACCAGTATGAATGCTAAAGGAAAAGAGCCAAGAGAAAGAGAAAGAGAGAGAAGAAAAAATCAATAAGGAGAGACAAATGCGTTTATGGAAATTCGTAGACACGGTACGGTCCGCACAGGGACGTATATGAGCAGGTACACTGAACCTGGGAGACGTATAAAAATACGGGGGTGCATAAATAAACTCTAGGGGGAAAGTGTACAAGTCACTTTTGGGTTCTGCAAACTGGGCACCGCCGGCACAACTGCAGCCGCAGAACATGCAGCTCTGGCTCGGAGCGCCGCACCATCCCATGCCCGACCTGCTCTCGGGAGTTTACACGTCCCCAGTACCTGGCTTAACACAAATTCAAGAAGTAACTCTGCCCTCCTTGCCTCTTTGAGGCACTGGATCACCTTTAGGTGGCAGTTTCAAGGTTCAAGGTCAAGGTGTGTGTGTGTGTGTACGGAGCAGAGACGTGGACGCCGAAGGCACCGACCTGCGCTCTCTCAACACCTTTCATCACTGGTGTGTTCGCATCATCGTTGGCGTATCCAGGCGGGACCAGTGGGACGACCGCGTAACCTCCGTTACCATGGCCCGAACACTCGGCATTGACTGTGACGTCGCGGACAACATCCGGGAATATCGCCTGCGTTGGCTTGGCCATGTTGGCCGGATGAACGACGACCGCATGCTGAAGCGATTTTTTTGGGAAGCTCCCTGCAACACGCCCTCGCCATGGTCCACGCAAGCGGTGGTGTGACGTCATCGTGGATGATCTCCGCTCCATCAGCCGCCCCTGTGCCTTCTGACTGCTGGTTTGATGCTGCCCAGGAAGCAGATTGCTTATCGTCGTCCTCCCGCCCGTGCTCCTCCTGATCCTGACCCTGGCTTCTGCTGCGCATGTGGAAAGGTCTGCCGTCGTCCCGGGGACCTCGAGCGCCACGCTCCGTACTGCAAAGGTAGCAGATAGTCCCTTCGCTGTCATTGCCATCGGCAATGGGCACGTTCAAGGTTCAAGGTGTGTGTGTGTGTGTGTGTGTGTGTGTGTGTGTGTGGGTGTGTGTGTGTGGATGTGTGCATGCGTGTGCGTGCGTGCGTGCGTGCGTGTGTGTGTGTGTGTGTGTGTGTGTGTGTGTGTGCCTTGGTGGCCTTGGTAGACGGTTGCATTTTTCGGAGCTCTGCCTGCAAGTGTACTTTCCTTGGTTTTTACCTCGGTTCCTTGGCTTGTAGGGCTGTGGTGGCCTTTTGGCCGTCCCAGCTGAATGCTGTGAGTCGTCAAGGGTCCTGCGGCAATGCACGTCGAGTGCAGGGCAGCGCCTGATGCTGCCACTCGCCGTGCAGTGGGAACCTCCACTCGTTGCGGTGTTGCGAGCCCGCGAGTGATTGATGGACGACGAAAGTCTAAATCTAAATCCGCCGATAGAAGGAGAGGAGAGTGCATGCAGTTGGCGTCCTGGAATGTCAGGTCGCTCGTGAATGCTTCTGGGCCTGTGGAGACGGCATTTGTTCGAAAGAATTCAAATTTTAGAAATTCAAATTTTGAATTTGACAAGGATGATCGGAGGGTCGATGTCGTCGTCGGCGAGCTGAAGAGACTCGACAAAGAGGTAGCTGGCCTGCAGGAGACTCGCTGGTTTGGGGAGGAGGTGTATTCTGTTGGTGATTCGGCTGTCCTATCGACTAGGTGGAGATTGCCGAGCGGTGATGGTTCCTTTCTCCGCGGCGCGTGCGTAGCTGTTGTGCTGCGCGGACGCGCGCTTCGTGCCTGGAGAGACAGAGGTTCGCAGTGGGCACCGGTTTTGCCCCGTCTCACTGTGGCGGTACTTCGCTTCGTGTCGGGGCGCAGTAGAAAGTCGGTCAATCTCCATGTCATCGCCTGTTACGCACCGACATTCCGCGCCAAGAGATCTGTCATGGACAGCTTCTTCAACGATCTGCAACGCGCGATACAGGATGTGCCTGGCGAAGACAAGTTTGTTCTTCTAGGCGACCTCAACGCCAGAGTTGGTTCCCGTCAATCTGGAATTGCTGATGACTGGCAGGGAGTTCGTGGCCTCCATGGTTTTGTCGAGTATAACGAGTCAGGCGCGGAGTTGCTTTTATTCCTCCACATGAACGATGCAGCCGTGTGCAATACTTGGTTTCAAAAGAGGGCATTCCACAAACAATCCTGGCAGTACCCCAGGACCAAGCAATGGCACGCAATAGACTTCATCATCATGCATCATAAGGACCGACGCCTGTGTCGTGATTGCCGCGTTGTGCTGAATGGAGACTGTGGCTCAGATCATCGTATGGTATGCCTCACTGTTCAGCTTAGGCAGATGTGACTGCGGCACTTTGCAGTGAGCCTGCTGAAGCCATCACCCGCTTCGTCAATGGCAACGGATGCTGATGTGATAACCCCCACTCATGTCAGGGCGTATCAGGAGTCAATTGCCTCTCGTCTTGCGGATATCCCCGCAGCCGCGTCTATCGAGGAGCGCTGGTATGCCCTTGCCACGTCGCTGTTCACTGCTGCGGAGACCACTCTTGGCTTCTCTGCGTGTCGGCAACCTGACTGGTTCTCTGACCAGAAGGACTTGGCTGGACCACTGATTGAGGAGCTTCGATTAGCATATAATAAATGGATTGTCAGCGGAGACGCCAGAGATTGTGCAAAGTACAAACTCGCCCGTTTCGGGGCGAGAAGAGGTGTTCGCCACGCCAAGAACCAGTGGTTGGAACGTACCGCAGCCCAAACAGACATAGGCAGGGCGCAGAACCGCGGAGCATCACCATGGACGGCCATCCGGGATATCCAGCGCTGCTTTCAGGACATCCGTCCGAAAGCAGTTACGACGATACGTGACAAGGAAGGTGTAATTTGTGCATCCGCTAGGACCAGGCAGAGCGCAGGCATGAACACTTTCAACAAGTGCTCAACATCCTAAGCCAGTTTGAGCCAGATGTTTTAGCTTTCTTGACTGCTCGTCCAGAGAACAACGAACTGGCTGAGCTGCCGACTGCGGCCGAGCTTCACCGAGCTATTACAAGCTTGAGCAACAACAAGGCCCCTTGAGAGTCTGGCATTCTACCTGAAATGGTGGAAAATGCTGGTCCTGCTATCACTGGCGTCAAGTCAAGTGAGAGAGTTGCATGCCCCAGGCGTAGCGTGATGCTAAGATTGTGCCGATCCCCAAAAAGCGTGACATGTCCACATGTGACAACTGGAGGGGCATCGCCCTTCTCGACGTGGTGGGCAAAGTTGTGGGCCGTCTCATCCAAAACCGCCTGCAGATACTGGCTGAGGAGGAACTGCCGGATTCGCAATGTGGCTTCCGGCGAGGCCGCTCCTGCATCGACCAGATTTTCTCTGTCCTCCAGCTGACAGAGAAACTGTACGAACCCCGCACCAGCAGCTTTGCAATCTTTATTGATTTAAAGAAGGCGTATGACTCCGTTCCTCGTGAGGCTTTGTCGGCTGCCTTGCGTGCTCTAGGTGTACCTGAGAGCCTGGTTCGTCTCATCGCGTCATTCCACGACGGCATGTTTACCCGCGTCCGTGTTGGCGACAGGCATACTGAGCAGATAGCGGTGAACAATGGTCTGCGACAGGGCTGTACAATCTCTCCTGTCCTCTTCAATCTCTACTTTGCCCTTGTATTCGAGAAGTGGCGTAGTGTGGTGCAGCGTCAACATCCAGACGTCGGCATTGACTTCAGGTTCAACATCAACGATAACTTGTTCAACATCAGCTGCACGTGTCACCAGTGTTCTGCAGCTTTGGATGTGGAAGTTGCTGATGATGCTGCTATTATGGTGCCCTTCCGTGAAGTGGCTAAGTCGGCACTTGAGTTTTTCCATTCTGTGACATCAGCATTTGGTCTCACAGTCAACTTCGCCAAGACGAAGTTCATGTGTTGCGGCTTCGGCATTCCCGATGATGACCGCCGTCCCATTGTCATCGATGGTCAGTTGGTGGAGTGCGTGCCGGCCTTCATCTACCTTCGGTGCTTGATGAGTCTAGAGGGCAGGATCGGTCCGGAAGTTGACCGGCGACTTGCGCAGGCTTCTCGGGCTTTCGGTACACTCCGGTGCGTAATCGAAACCCCGCTATCTCCATCCGAACGAAGCGAGTGATCTATGATGCCTGCGTGTTGTCCTTCCTCCTCTATGGCTCTGAATTCTGGCCTGTGCTGCGCCAGGAAGAAGATCGCCTGGACCGTTTCCACCACCAGTGCATCTGTGCTATCCTTGGCGTATCGCGCATTGACCAGGAGACGAACCACATCACAAACAGCGACCTGCGTGTGCGCTGGGGTAGTAGTGATCTGCTTTCTGACATCCTGCGTCGCCGGCGAATGCAGTGGCTTGGCCATGTTGCCCGCATGCCAGATGACCGCCTTCCGAAGCAGCTTCTGTTCGGTTGGCTGCCGCAGACTAGGCCAGCACATGGACTACGTCTCAGGTGAAAGGACCGCGTTTGCTCGGATCTTACTCTACTCCATGTACCAGAGTGGTACAAGTCCGCACAAGAGCGACAAGAGTGGCGCAGCATCTATCTCCCCAGTGTGGACCGTCCTGCACCGGAGTCGGCTGCTCACTGTAACACCTGCAACAGAACATTCACCAAACATTCGGGTCTTACACGGCACAAGTGCCTTGCTGAGCGTCGGCTTCCGGTTGAGCTTCAGCGTGGTGCACGGCATTGCAGCACCTGCCGGCGGTGGTTTAAAAGTGCGGGGGGCTTGGCTGTTTACCGTTGTCAGCCATCACCATCTACCACAGTGGAGCCAACCGCTACTGCTCACGCCTCATCACCTCCAGCCCAAGCATCTCTGCCGGGGGAGCCAACCGCTACTACTCACGCCTCATCGCCTCCAGCTCAAGCATCTGTGCCCTTGGCGTCCCCACCCCGGTATGCTGTCTCGACTGAGCGCTGCTGCGGTCATCACTGCAGTGTCTGTGGCCGCTGCTGCAAGTCGGCTTCGGGCTTCGGCCGACACAACTGTCGGAGAGGCGGCAACCCTGTTGATCGTGGCCACTTTTCAACATGATTGCAGGTGTGGGTTGCAGACGTTTCCATCGGCTCCGCGGCATCCGGCGACATGTCTGCGGGGCGTCATGACTGCGCGCTCTCCTCTCCTCCCCCGCATCGGGGCAGCATAGCCAGTTACTGGCAGCTGTACACAAGGTATGTGTGAATGCGTGCGTGCGTGCACGCGCGTGCGTGGTTTGTTGGTTGGTTGTGTTTATTTGAATTCGCAAACCGAACGGACTGAACATGTCCAATGACAAGGAAGCGAATGAAATCCAAATAATCCAGAAATGGGGACCCAGATGAAAAGAAAATATGGGAACAGAAGGCTCTCAGCAAAGGGATAAAAGAAAAGAAGGAAAGAAAAAGAATAAAGGAGAAGTGTGTGTAGCGTTATGGTAATATTGCAGATTAATGGATACACGCAGCTTTGTGCTACCGCTCAATCTATGCTGCTATGATTGATAGTGCTGTGACTGCATGCAAATGCTTTGCTGCTGGCTCTGCACATCACGGTGATCATGTTGACCAAAACAAGCATAGTGCATGCACATCTGGTACTCTACGTGGCTTGGTGCTCTACGTGACATTGAACGTGATTCTCCACGTTACATTGAACGTGTCTCTCAACTTGGCATTCATGCGTGGTGCTCAACTCCGATGTGGGAGGCGTGCGACATGGCGTCACCATGGCATTTATTTTGTGTGTGGCGCTCAACCTGGGCGACATTCGACATTCGTTCGACGTCACACTCGAAGTGTCTTGCTAGAGTTTGCCTGATCCGATGTATCAATCTGTTCTGTGTGTGGATTATTCCTGTTTACTCGTACTGTTTTACCCTCCCACCTTCCATTTCTCATTACTAATTTACTTTGATAAGTGAATAAATCATGGGGTGTTGCTCACGCTCATTTCAGGCTACTCCCTTAGAAGCTTGGCTCCGCCAACATTCTGCTCTTGCAGTGTCTACCCGGCCGACCCTGAATCCTCTCTTGTACATACTTGGCTCCGCCAGCATTCTGCTTCCGCCGTGTCTACGCATTTCTCTCCGTAGCCTCTCACTCCGATGGCCGGCACTCCCCCGTACCGCAAGTTTCTGCGTGTTGTACTTAAAATGTGTGTGTATTTTTATTTTTATTTTTGAAAAGCGAGGCACGCGTTTTGCGGGCTCTCCTTTTTTACCATTTTTTTGCAGCCCAGCTGGCATCAGGCCGGACTGGAAGTAGACTAGATCAGTGATTAGAAGTAGAGTAGTGTCGGAAACTTGCCATGCCCGGAGCTACCACGAGAACTAACTCTCGTGTATCAGCCTTGACTGAATCTGAAAAGAAAATGTTGGGCTCCCTGCCTAGTCTCGAGTCGGATGTATCGGCAGTGCTAAAAAGTCTGGCCGCACTTGTCTCCGAGGCCACCGATCGCAAGGATCGCCTGAACAATAGGTTCGAGGAGCTATCCAGACAAGTATGGAGCTGAAGGAGAAGGTAGCTTCTCTCAAAGAATCCGCCATTGCCGCGGCGAAAGCTCCTCAGCCATGCCAGCCAGGACGTACTACGAACCGTGATCGTAACCGCACTGACCCCCGCACAGCCTGCAGGCCGTGTAGCAGGAGTTCGAGTACGAGTAGATCTACCAGCGCGCTGAACCAAGGTCCAGCATCCGATGCGCCCCGTGCTGAATTTGAAAATGATGCTCGACCAGCATCGCCCGACTATCTATCAGCTCGGCATCTCCGTGCAGTCGTATCTGGCCATGAGTCTAATGTCTTTCCCATTACCGTTGGTGTTCCTCAAGGAAGTATATTGGGGCCTACCCTGTTATTGTTATACGTGAATGACAGGGACACTACTCTCGGAGAGGACGTAGATCTCGCTGTCTATGCGGACTACACCATGCTGTTTCAGTGTCTTGCAGTGGGCGCAGACGTGAATGAACAAAGCCATGTTTTGCAGCATGCAGTGGATGACCTCTCCGCCTGGGGCAAAGGCTGCAAGATCTCATTTGAGCCCACCAAATCCAAGGCCCTCACCATCGATCATCATCGGCCACGTCGGCAGTTCCCAGACAGATGCTGGATCAGGCAAAGTCGGAGGCAGTCTCTGCGACTCAACAGGTTGGTAGATCCAGGACCATCAATACCTACCATCTCCATAGAGAACAGTTCACTCTTGTGCATGGTGTCTGCAGTGAACTGACCCTTGATGGATAGAGGTACACCAGATGGACCAAGGAGTTTGGTACTGCATGGTGTGAGTACAGGGCGCTGTACGAGATTCTTTTAGTCGAGTGCGTGATACACGATACATCGGCAC